TGAAACACTAACTTTTATTAGGAAACCTAACCTCTAAAACAGTAGTTTTGGGGGGAAAAAATTGATTTTCAAAGCTATTTTCTAAAAACCATTTAACTTGAAAATTGTTAATATTAATTGAGATCAAGTATTATATTATAAAATTCAGCTAACAAGCAGCACTGAGTAAATTCATATGTAGACATATATATATATATATGTCTATACATATGTACATATGTATGGAAATTTGAAATTCTTATATTCTAAGTCTAATTCTACGATTTTGTATGGAATTCTAATTATTGAAATTAATTGATTTCGAAAAATTGAACAATTGATAGATTTTATTGTATATATAGTTTATAAAAGGCATACCGACATACTTACATATGCACGGAACTTGAACGACACACACACACACTTACACTTATGCATGCGAAAGCTTGGAGAAATTGTAATTCGATAATTGTTTATCGATGGCTAAGCAAATCAAATTAAAATTATATATGAGTACTACACACACACATACGCATACACATATACACAGAAATGGAATTTGATTAAAAGAGATTATAATTTCGCAAAATAAATAATTAATGTTATGATTACACAATTGTGCACAAAATTATGGTTGTTTTTATTGTTGTGTGGCATTAGCACATAGCATATGTACACGCCCAGGGTCATTCAGTTTCTTCAAGGCTGTTAGAAGCAATGGACTCTAGAGGGGAATCTCAGATCTTGAAACACAAGCAACACAGGGCATACTTTTGTGTCGTGTTGATGGTGGTCTGACCAAAAAACTTTTACTTCTAGACAAACGGGAGCTTAGTAACAACATAGTGGCCGTCGCAGGTTACATGGCTTTAAGAACAAGACTTCAGAAATTAGGAACAGTGGATTCGGCAGAATGTAGAGCATGCATGGAGGTTGATAAAACACTATAGCATTATCTATCCGCATGCCTAGTCTCCAGCCGGTTAAGAAGGGAAATATTCCGCGGCCATGGCTCTCCAACTTGAGCAGCTGTCATGGAAACTAATCACATTCTTTACCAAATCCACTAATTTGCTGGATAAGCAAATATTGGCAACTACCTCCAGCATAAAGAGCCTAACGACGCATGCGCAGCAAAAAAGATCTTTTTTCCTCACTGATCGTTCTGTTTGTATGGAAGCTATATGCTTTATTGGTTCGATATCAACGGTTTCAATAATGCACAGCTTCTTTAGGAGAAAAGGGTAAGCGCAAAATTGCAGATGGATGTCTTAAAAACTCAGTGACAAGTATGTGTTAAGACGGATGTATGAGCAGATGGACATGGCCGAATCGACTCTGCTCATCACACTGATCATTTATAGAAGAAGATATCCGAGGCTTTCTATTGGGTGTTAGAATCTTCATGGCAAACTCAATATACCCTGTTCTAGTCACAAAAATAGGTCTATAATAAAAAAAATTAAAAAGTAAATAAATAACTAAAGGAGTAAATGTAAAAAGGCCGTGCATAATGGCAACATACCTGTGTATGATTGAGTTTATTAACACTTATTTTACTAACCTTGAGCCAAATAAGAAGAAAAAAATACCGCATGACAAGTTCCACACTCCAAATGTATGTACATAACGTATGTAAGTCTCTGTAAACCTATGAGCAAGTGCATACATACATACAAATGTACGTGTAACATGTTAAAAACCGCAAGAAACGGCATGGAACCATTAAACTTGAACTTGACTTGATTTTTCAGGCGAGATTACAAGGGTGACACCACGTGGGTGCATAATGATAGATTTAACAATATATGGTTAAATATTTCAATACTACAGTGGCTATTAAAAGACAAATTTGATGTTTTTGGTAGAAAAATAGTGTACTAACATACTATGAAAATACCTACATACATGTACATATGTATACTGTAGCTAGGGAGCTACAATACTAAGTCACTACAATTTACTAAATTAGCAAAAAATAAAGTTATAACAGTGAATTAACTCCTTTGGGACGCATTATGCGCCAGGGAATAGTATACGAATTTACATTGAATATTGAATGTTACGTATACGTGATGTAGCACCACACGAGTTTGTTTACTTAATACATATGATACATGAGAGAGTTGCGAGCGTTGCTTCATTAACTGTTGTGAATGCTTACACGTACACTTACATACAATATATATGTTTATATCTATAATTGCATATATTATATTAATAAAAATATTAGCGAGGGTCGATTTTTGTGGTTGAGTACGACTTTTTGAACATATATCAGAGCCAGTTATGCTATCTCAAGTTTCTATACACTTTCGAAGGTGGATAATTCTCAACAAAGGCTTTGCAATGCCGACTATTCAAAGCAGAGCAAAAGAGAGTTCGTTCTCTTTCCAGCCACTTGGGAAGAATTTTTCGAATGTCAGTATTCTGTAGATACCTAAAATATCTATAAAATGTGCGAACCCCCCTTTAAATAATTTTTAAACTAATATAAGCTTAAAATCAACATTTGACCTCAGCAAGTTCATCAACTGTTACGTTGTAGGGCGATAGGTATTTGTCTCATTATGTATATATGTATTCATGTAAGTATGTGTTTTGCGTGCATTTACTGACTAATTGCTTGGCAAATAGTCAAAAAGGGGAGTTAAGTTCAAAGTGTCGATCAATTGCTCACCCGTCCGCCTCACTGCCAGGTCAGGCAGGCCAGTTTAAATATTTATGCCGCTTAAATGACATTTAAACGTAATTTACAGCGGCGGGTGCGCGCTGAAATCATAATGTAAAGCATTTAAAGTTTAAACATTGTATTTGCACGTTGAAGCAGCTATTAAAATGGATAATTTTTTATTTTCATTTTGCTAATATTGCCTAGAGATGTAATTACAATTAGAGTTCACTATTGGTGTCAATCAGTTGTTACTTGGTTAGGACTTACAGTTGTGGGGGATTATAGTTTTACAAAGTTTACTAATTTATCATAATTTATTGAATTAATACTAAAGTCACTTCGACACGATACCACAGCTTAAACTTGGTTCAGGTGCTGGAAGAGTAAGTGCCAATTGACTACTTTTGGAGCAGAATACTTTAAAAGACATGTAAGCTATATGGATAAAGCAGGTCTCAAGGCGTGTCTCTATTACGATTTAAATGTCTAACCGAACTAAGAGAGATACATAAAATATAAATAAATGATAACCCAGGGAAGTTTATTTAAGTATCAAAGATAAAGAGACCAAAATAGTGGACACTAACGTAACAGAGTTCACTCCAAGGGTGATATACTGACTCTCCAACGACCCTGCAACTTGTTGATACCATTTGTCCCTTGCTTCAAAGTAGGCCACATTTTTTATGAAAATTTTTTCCCAAAGAGCATTCTTTTGAGATGTGAGAACAAGAAATAGTTGCTGGGGGTCAGATCTGGAAAATACGTTGGATGTGAAAGCATTTCGAAGCCCAATTCATGGCTTTTTGTCATCGTTTTCACTGACTTGTGACACGATGCATTGACTTGCTGAATTAGCATTTCATCTAAGACTCTGTTTATGGCTGTTATACGCGATTTTTTCTGGACCTTGTCCTTTTTTATTTCAAAAAATATCCTAATGAAATTTGGTATGAGTTATTTTGCAAAGCAATGCTATAATCTCCAAAGAAATTGTTCAGATCGGACCACCGTAGCATATAGGTAGCTGCCATTCAAACTGGCCGATCAAAATCAAGGCGAAGATCTTCAAAAATTATCTACATAAAAATCAAATTTAGGTCTTATTTGGGAGCTCAAGCTTGCTCTAACTGCTTTACTATCAAACTACTGTTCACTTTAATATCCATTCCACTTAAACTCATTCCCCCAAAGAGTTTTCGAGTCACCTTGACGCTCAAAGCAAGCAGCTGTTTTGCTGCTAATAAAGAAAAATCTACGCAATTATTACACTGAAAGCGATCGAAATCACTTTGTCACATTGACAGCGGTGAAAAATCCACTTTCTATAATCGTACATCGTTAATTATCGACTAATAAAGCATTATTCATTCGCCACTGTCAAATTGTCAACAAAGCACTCACTCCCTCGCTCGCTCGCTCGCTGGCTGAAGCTCATTACAAATGCTTACAGGCAATTTTTATGTTTTCCTCAGCAACTATGCCGCTGTACGCGTGGCTAATAAAAATGTTACATTCCAAATTATTGGCTAAACAATGCGCAACCTGTGTACAAACAAATATTCAAAGTCACGCCTCATCAGCCAGTCCAAAGCGCAGAAAGTCGCCACTACATGTAAACTAACTAAATTGCTTCAAAGGGTGAGCTTTCGCTTAGATAATGGAAAGTGGTAGCACAGCGAATATAAATAGTTTGGTCGCTGTATGTGTATGTTCACATGTGTGTGTGTGCACGTTGTTGTATATATATATGTAATTGAATTTGTACAGTATATGTGTTTATTATTTCACTTTTGTTTGCTTTTGTTGTTATTAATGCATTATAGTTATATGAGCACACATACACAAGTCGACATGTCCACACACACACACGCGCGCACACACACATTTAGTTGCAAGGGAACTCATTATAAAGCATTTCGCTGCAGTTGGTGTACTTTCGTTGACCGTTGACTGCTGACCGCGTAATATTGTTTACACTGCAGACAAACACACACACCTTAATACACGTTTCACATATACACACATATACATGCGCCATATTTGTATGGTAACGGCGCTTTAATTGTATGCATTGGCATAATGATGTACATATACATAAGTGTGTGTAGGCTTATTGCTCAGTCTGTGTTCGCTTCTCATTCATACATACATGAGAAAGACTGTAAGTATTCTTGTATGTGTGCGTGTGCATAAAATTATTATTATAATTTGTGTTTGCCTTTGTATTGACTGACCATAGATTTGTGTTAGTGCCCTAGTGGATTATAATTTTTTATGACAACAGTGAAATTATTTTTTTAGATTTCATCCACAGATCCATAGCACAGTTAATGTCGCGCGTTGGTGAAAATCGGTTGGAAAAGCGGGAAAAACTTGAAAATCGAATTTTAGTAGAGCAATTGTTGAATGACACAAAGCGACGGTAAGGATTTTTCAATGTGAAATAATTGTTATTATTCAAGTGAGTGAGAGCGAGATAAATTTTGAATATGGTATATAAAAAATATATCTATTTGTGATAAAAAATAAAATAAATAA